CCCTGTACAGCCCAGCACAGTGTCCCAGCCCTGTACAGCCCAGCACAGTGTCCCAACCCTGTACAGCCCAGCATGGCTGTCCCAGCCCATCCCCTGCAGCAGGGCCCTGCCTGAAGGACTCCAGGTTTGTTTCTGAAGGAGGACTGGCACAGGCAGTGTTTCACCTGCTTCCCCTGCCCTGTCCACCTGCGGGGACTCGCCCTGTTCCCCACCTGCCCCTCTCCAGCGGGCACCGGCCGTGGGCAAAGCGGAGCAGGGGGATCTGCCCTTCCCAGGCACTGCCATGGAGCAGAGCTGGCTTGTGATGTTCGAGGCTGGCCAGTTTAGAGACCTCAATGGCCAGGTCCTCATGTTCTAGGTGGGATTTGCAGGTTTCCCTGTGGGCCAGAAGACAAGGGCAGCAGGCTGCTGTGAGGTGTATCCTCCTTGCTCTGAGGATCCCGCCACAGAGCTCACGATGGAGGGAGTGTTACTATCTAAAGCTTTAAAAAAAATGTACAGGGAATATAAACCTGTGAGAATGTTACAGTGAGACTGAAAATTTAGACTCAGAGGTCACATCCAGGGTAGAAGTAGTTCTGTTAGAGGAGCCATGGAAACACATGAACTGGAGGACGATTCCAGTCTGCTCCAGTACGTGGGTATATCTCAGGATTTCCCATGTGCCCACTAAAGCAGCCTCCGTGGTAATTCCCTGTGTGCAGCATGTGCTGGGGCTCATGAATTATGCAGGTTTATATCAGGTTAGTGTGTGTGTTGACATCATGTCATTCTAGTTCCTTAATCAAGATTCCAGCAAGACAGAGCACCTGCCCCATGAGGCTTCATTAACTGTACATATAATCTCGTCAAAAAGATATTACAGTACCTATAAAATTTAATTCTGAGAATTCCAGCCCATCACTCAAACACAAGTCCCCCATGATAGCACAGCTTTCCTCAGAGCACTCCTGGTGGGTTTTATAAATTGGCTGTTGTTCAACAGGAGCACTCGGGCACTGTGTGCATTATGTGGCAGCTTGTCCTTGCTCTGCTGCTCTGTCCACACACTGCTTGATAAGGTTTCATCATTACTTGCTTCTTCAGAACTAGAAAATGCCTTTTTCTAAACTTCCCTAATGTTATAGTTCCTCTTCTTTTAAGGGAAAAAAAATCTATGAAGGTTATAATGAGTTATTTTAACACTAATATAAAGTGACTACTCTTATGAAGATTTGGTGATTTTATGTCAATAAAAGCACAAGCCTAAAGCCATTTATTTATGATTGGTTATAGCACTGATGTATAGAATAACACATAATATCTTCTGTTTTATAGGATCTTGAATAATTTTGTTTTCAGTAGCTTGATCTTGTGCTCTTTTGCTTTTTTTGTTTTTATTCTTCTATTCATCCCCACCTTTTTAAATAAATACCTTCCTAGGCTAGGTGGACAAAAAGATGCACAACAAAGGCCATCACCACTGCACAGCCACTCCATGTCTCAGGCTTCTCAGTGGCTTGCTGGTTTATTCTCTAGTAAACCCACTTATTTATGCAGCTTGATCTGTTTTCCACATGAGAATATTCATGTTTCCCAGGGTCTTGAAGCTTACTCAGAAAATGACACATTTTTAAACCAGCTATCCTTAATACTCTTTAAGCAGTGGCTTTGGTGTTATTTTCTTAGACTTGGATATTATTTGATGGTTTTGTATAACTGGAACAAATTAAGCACACAGGATGATGTGCAAGTGCAGAATGTCCTCAGCAACCACAAGGCACACAATATGATGAAGTTTTCTTTCTGTCCCTGTCTTTCTAGTTCTGAAGAATTTGTGTCTTCTTGCATTGAGCAAAATGTACATCACTGTTAGCTCTGACAGCTGGTAAGTTCTCTTTTATTGAGCAAGAAGTTAATGTCATAGCAGCTGCCAGAACTAACAGTTTTCACTCCTGCACACTGAATTGTGGAGTAATCCCTTAGGATGGACCCTCTGTCAGTTCACTCACTGCTTAAATGAAGATGCCATTTTACCACAGCAACCAGTTAGACTAGTATACAGAATTCTTCAGCTCTCCAACCTCACAGAGCCAAGCGTGACAGGAGGCTGTAACAGAGGTGGGCAGTTTACACTGCACCTCAAATATTGTACAGAGAGCTGCATAGAAATCATATTAATGTTGCTAAGCAGAGATTAATTAAAACACGACAATTATGAAGAAATGAAATTCACTCAGCTGGTAAAGAGTATAGCTGATGAGGGATCCATTTTACAAATGCATTTTAAAATAAGCATAGTCCTGTAAAGTGTCAAAAGTCAGAGAATTCATTCAAGTTTAGGAAAACCATGTCTACTTCAGCATCAAGGCTCATTTTTCTCCCTGAACCCAATGCAAATCAAAGACCCAACTCTTGTGGATTCTGACTGCTGGATGGGCTTTGTTTCCTTGTTTGAGAAAGCACTGGGGGGTTGCAGAGCTCAGTGGTATGAAGCCTCATCACAAAAGATTCAGACAGACGAGTATTTTCCCAGATTCAGTGATGTAATTTAGTAAGCTCTCCTGCAAATTGTAAAGGTCCAGAAGAGACACCAATTAAAGTGGTATCTGGCAGTTTTTCATTTGACAATGAAATTATATCAGAGGACTAGTCAAAGCAAGATATGTACAGGTATCTCTGTGATCTAGATGTGTAACATTTTCACCAGCTCTGAAGTGTTAGCCTCAGTTTTGGAATTCAAGCTGTGATCACTCTGTTTTGCCTTCACTGACAAGCATCCTAGAAATGCAGACTTTTTTCTGATGATACTTCAGCCAAATAGAAAAGCATTTCTTGCTCCTTTCAAGACTTACAGAAATTCTTACTCCAAAGTGCTGGAGGCTGTGGGAAATACAGTATCTTGTCTCCTTGGTGAACATAAAAGAGCTGTTTGTCTGAGCTGAACATACCACACAAGTGACAGGCATGTATACTGTATACCCAGGCCTGGGTTCTGACCAGAGCCAGTATAGAAGATGCTTCAAACTTACTAATTGTGCTGGGAATTGACACAGCTGTAGGAAGAAAGAGTTTATTCTAGTTCCTATTGAGAAGGTATATGCAATTATAAAAACACTTTTCTGGACACAGGTAGACTTGCATGGTTACATAGCACTGTTATTACCAAGACCAAGACACATTTTTGAAACATTTTCAATATCCTTACAAAGAGCACTTGAGTGTTTTGTGCAGATTTAGTGAAGAGAAGATTTTATGAAGGGTCTTTGTTCGCAAAGGAAAAAAATTAACAGGAAAATGCTGGCTCTTGTGCTTAAGATGTATGTGTTGAAGGGAGATGGGCAGGGGAACAAACATCATATTCCAGGTCTGTGGATGAGCACATCTCAATCCTTTGCCTCTACACCTTTGAGACAAACTGCGAGGTGTTTGCCTGGGGCTGAGCGCTTTCCTCTGTTTCATACACACGAGGCAGAAGAGCTGACAGCACACTCCTGTTTGCTCCTCTCTGCTTCTCTGGCACTGTTTCCCAGAAACGGTCACATCTTCTGAAAGATTGTGGGGAGGTCTCTCAAAGCACCAGCTGAGCCTTGTGCATGCAGAGCTGATATGTGGTGGTGCTGAGGGAGGAAAGGGCGGATATTGGAAAGGAAATGGACAAAAAGAGATGGGGCAGAAATGGGTCCTGGCCACATGCTCTGTTCGTGTGCTGAAGGGATCCGTGGTCTCCCAGGGCCTCGCAACAAGAGGCCTTGCCTCTCTTCCTGCACAAAGATGATGGGGAATTGGGGAGCCCTCATCTTTCCTTCCCTGCCTTGTGCAAGGCGTCACCTGACACTGGCAGCATTCCTGAGGTGTTCTAACAAACCTGTGTCACTTGGCACAGCTCTGGGACAGTGAAGCACAGCCACCTCCCTGCACAGCATTCCCATCACCAGCCAGCTCTGGGAAACAAAGGTGGTACTTGGCTGGAAGCAATTTCTGTTGGAGTTCCTGACATTGCAGGTACTTCAAGGTTTGCAGTGCTCCCACGTTGTTGAACAAAATGAGGTAGTGCTGTGTTCATCAAAGCTTTTGTCAGTGCAGAGAGCTTATGCCAGGTGTTAGACAGTCTGAAGGACAGGAGTTGGTTCTCCGCGTCCACAAAGTAATATTTATGTATATGCAATATTTTCTTGATGCATCCTGCTGTCCTTTTTTGGATATAGCAGCTACTTGTCTTATACTGCTGGGTACGAAGAAGCAGGGACTGTTTCTCCTTGGTGTTTGGGTAGAACCTGTTGGCCACTGCAGAATTAGGAGGAGGATTTCACAGTCTTGCTTTCCAGCAGCCTGAAGATCCTCAGGCTGATGCACCTGAGCCACACTAGGGGATCATGAGACATCTCCCACAGCTCACGTGTGGCTGCGCTGCCAACATTGGGAGCTGCTCCAGCTGCTCCTGCAAGAGAGTATCTGCCACGAGTCTTTAGTTGAAGCATTTTGTTTTCTGACCACATGCATTTTCCCTTGTCTTGTGTGGGTTTATCCTAGAGTAGGAACAAGGATTGCTTTGGAGAAAGATGTAGGAACTTCAGTCATTACTGTCTGCTGTGCCTCAGGTTGCTTTAAATTGAATGGGAAAGGGAGAGTCTCACTCACTGCTGTTCTTTGTTTATTTCTCCCATTCAGATGCAGACGGATAATTGAAAATGTAATACCTGTGTTCAGAAGCCATGAATTCCAGAAAATTACTCTCAGAAACACGGAGAGCTTTTCCTGCTGCTAAATCCCAGTGCCAGCAGCCATGGCGGGTTCTCATCGTGGATGTCACATCACCTTCCTGGGCCAATACCTGCTCTGTGCTCTCCGAGGCTCTGGAAAACACGCTGTGCTTGGCCTGTGGCTTGGCAGGGCCCTGCCGTGTGCCCCTGCTGAGCCTCTACGTGGTGCAGCCCCAGCAGGAGTGTCTGCTCCCCTTCACGGTATGGCCGAGCCCGGGATCTCACAAACGGGACTGCAATACATTGTTGTCGCTCAGGAGAGAAAGTTACCGTTTACTGCAAATATGTATCTCAAAATTAATCATTCTCCAAAAGCATAGTTTCACAGAATTTTATGAAAAGTGAAGTTTAAAAGAAGTGTAATATTTTTGATCTGTGAAGCTGCTCACATGCATAAATTGGGCTTTGTTCTCATCTAAAGCTTCTGTCGTACCTTCCATATGCTGCTTTCTGCACTATCTGTACTCCTGTTCTATCAAAATTATCAAACACAACCCAAGCTGTAATAATTTGGACAGTGAAAAAATATTACCACTGTGGGAGAGATTCCAGATATTTAAAGGAAGAGGTGCAGAGTTAAAATATTATTGCCAAATTTGAGAAATATCCTGAAATCATATAATTACAGAATCATTTTGGTTGGAAAAGACTTCTAAGATCATCAAGTCCAATCCTAAACCCAGCACTGCCAACTCCACCACTAAACCACATACCTAAGCACCACATCTACATAGCTTTTAAATATATAGATCTAAGTCAATAAGAACAAGCACTGCACTCATCTGGGGCTGCGCAGTGGAATAAGTGTAGATGGAGAATGGCAAGCAGCTCTAAAGTAACAGTTTGTGCATAAGAATCTATGAAGTCATAGTGTTAGAAACAGTCACACTGAGCAATCTCATTTACAACATTAACCTAAACACACAGAACTAACCCTTCCACTTTATACAGCAATGGTGAAAACATCCTGAAATGTTTTGTCAAGTTTTCACATCTCAGGAAAGGTGGAGACCAACTGGGAAAAATAAAAAATCGGAGATAACAGTAATTTCCCAAATGTGATCTGCAAGGAGAACGTGGCTGATGGTGTGTCATGGTCTAACCTCAGCCAGCAGCCAAGTACCACGCAGCTGCTTGCTTTATTTTATAGGACAGGTTATAGAGAGTGGGACGTGGATGACTAAGGGAATACCAAAGAAACAGTTTCTGAAGATACTGTGGAATCACTCTGATTAGGGGCTTCAAGAGCAAACACTTGTCTTGCTTCCTAGGATGAATCCACTGGTAATTCATCCTGGCATGTCACTGCAGGATGGTCTGGGTGATCTGTTCCACAGCTGGTTCCAGGTGTGCTCTCTGTGAGTTTGCATTATGTCCAAGTTAGTTTGTGAGTGTTTGGGGCCAAATACCCACTTTATGTTTACTGGATATGTCCTGACACTGGTCCAGCATGTGCTGGCTGACAGCTGCCTTCAATCTAATTTGGTGATTGTGGCTCACCAGGGGATGTCTGACCTTTGACATAATCCCTCTATTTAGGAGTGTTATGACTCTGCTGCTCACGATCAGATGTCTTTGTAATTTAAACAACAGTTCCTCATTTTGATAGTCACAGTTTTTAAAGACAGGGGAACCTTTAGATCTTTGTTTGGCTTTCTTCATATTACAGGCTATTATATTTCACCAAAGTACCCATATATCGTTAAAGCACTTCTTCCAGAAAGCCATCTAGTTTGGGTCTGAAGATATACAGGGTGGATAATCAAGTACTTCTCTTGATGATTTCTTCCAGTGGTTAATCATTGTCATTGTGAAACTTGCCCCTGGTTTCTAATTTGAATTTATTTGCTTTAGCTTCCAGGGATTTGTTAATATATTTACTCTTTTGGCTGGATTGAAGAACCTGCTTGTATTTTATCCTTTCTTCCTCTAAATAGAAGCAAGTCCTTTCTCAGTCTTCTAGCTGGTAAATCAAAGAGAACACATTATAAGTCTAACTGCAAGGCATTTTTACAACCCCTTAATAACTTCCAAGCCCTTCTGTGTATTGACTCTGCTGTTTGTTTGATTCCAATACTGGACTCAGCAATGCTGTACAGAGAATTAAAAATACCCCTCTTGTTTGCGTGACTGGTCATCACATCAGCTCTTTTGCCATAATGCTGCATTTATCTTGGACTTGTTCGAGACAGCAAAGCTCACACACGAAGACTTGAGTCAGTCATGTGCATCCAGCCTGTGAGCCCCCACTGCCCTTCTCCCCAGCTTTCTTTGGGTGTTCTGCTCGGGGAGCCATCTCTTTATTTTACACATCTGATGTTGTACTGAAGCTGTTTTTCACAGCTGTTCTTTCACTTTTAGGAGCAGTAAAGTACTTCAAGGTGACTGTCTTCTTCAGACTATGAGTGGCTGAGGTCGCTTGGTTTGTTCAGCTGGAGGAGACTGAGGGCAGAGCTCATGGGGGTCTGCAGCTTCCTCAGGAAGGGCAGCACCGATCTCTTCCCTCTGTGACCAGTTGCAGGACCCAAGGAGACAGCTGCAGCTTTGTCAGGGGAGGCTCAGGTTGGATCTTGGGAAAAGGTTCTTCCCCCAGAGGCTGGTTGGGCACTGCCCAGGCTCCCCAGGGCAGTGGGCACAGCCCCAAGGCTGCCAGAGCTCCAGGAGGGTTTGGACAACGCTCTGAGGGACAGGGTGGGATTGTTGGGGTGTCTGTGCAGGAGCAGGGGTTGGACTGGATGATCCTTGTGTGTCCCTTCCAATTCAGGACATTCTGTATGTTTCTATGACTCGGTGGTCCTAATTTCACTAATAATGGTATCTGGTCCTCTGCTGCTTCTGGAATCAGGAATACTTTTACATCTCTGCCTGATGAGTATGTGTTCCATTTCAGCCTTCCTCAGAAATACCAGAGCTCCATTACTTCTCCTGTACCCCCGAATTTGCCCGTGTCTCAACAGGGCAGGCTGTGAGCACAGAGTCTTTCTGGTTCAGCTACAGAGACTTGACACTTCTCAGTGAGGAACCAAGATAGAGCTGCATTCAAGGGTGCTTTTTAGACAAATCATGTGAAGTCAGAAAAGCCCCAGAGCCGAAAATAAAGACTGGGAGAATACATGGGGAAGTGTCATATACAGTAACCTTTGTCTTACTCTTTCCTGGGTGTTTGTTTATGATCTCCCCAAAAGGGTCTGACAAGTCCAAGGAGCTTCCCTGGAAAGGGCAGGGGGACAAAGAAAAGAAAACCAGAGAGTACATAGATAACTGTGGAGGACTGCAAATGGTGACAAGATAGGAAGTGAGCATTAAAGCATCAAAAGCTTTTAATTTTTTACAAATGACAGCAATAGAATTGTTTTTCCTTTCTAACACTTGGTCTGGTAACTCATCTCTGAAGCAGGAGAGTCCACACACCTCCCGTGAGCATTTGAGTTTTTGATTATCATCACTATGAGTGTCCTAAAGGAGAAGTGTAAGAGCAGAAGAAATGTCAAATGTCCTCCTGAGTCAAACCAGCATGCTCTCAGCCCACTCTCAAAAGAAAAAGTTTTTGGGGAGTGCCCTAGCCCAGTCCCTTCTTGCAGTTCATTCTCCTCACACTCCCCAAGTTCCACACCTTGTATGTTGTATTTAGAATGACAGAAGGTACATTTGAGGCTATTCCTCTTGGACTCTGGTTCTAGACCTGTTACCCATGAGCTTTTGGAACTCATTTTTGAACCTGTTGCCACACTCTGACTCCAAACCCTCCTGAATGAATTCTAGAGGTTCACAGCTTGATGAACAAAGAGCACAGATATGGCAGGAGTGACTGTGGCCTGGGGATGTCCCACCATCTCAGTGCTCCCATTCACATCTCAAGTTCTGCTTGTTACACAGCACCAGGGGAAAGGGTCGTGTCCTACTACTGCATTTTGGCTTGGCAGCAGGGAGACAGCTAAAAGCTTGAGGAGTGATGGTGTGTGTTGTACTGGCCTAACAACCAGCTGGGTTCACTGTTCACTGCTTTATGACTTGGCTCCTGCCCCCAGTCTGAGCTCAGTGCTGGGAATTCAAAAAACCTTCTTCCACACTATGGAAAGATATTTCATGTTATTTGTTTAACAGTCTTTCATGTTCATTGAACGCTGTTTTGCAGCAAGTGAAAGAGAACTTTGGGCGAATCCAAGCCTGCATTTCGGAGCTGCGCTTGCTCCCAGCAGAAGGCTGCTTCCCACAGGGGGGAAGTGGAGTGGTACAGGCTGTGCAGGATGGATTGCAGCAATTCAAACAATACAGCAGACACACAGCAGCAGGAGGCTCAACAAACAGTTCTGTTGAGGTAAGAAAATGTTGCAAAGGTAGTGGAAGCCATCTCATTTCACCGGTCATGCTTTATAAATGTATAATCTCATGTACAGTGAACGTGCCAGAACATTTTAGGTATTCAGCAGTCTGGCTGTTTCAGAGATAAATCCTGGATGGAGATACCAAGTCCTTGAATCCCTCTGGACAGATTCCTGTGGAAAAGGGGACTTTATCTAGGGAAAACTATATGTACAGCAGTCCTATGAACTGGATGTCCTGGGACAGGATCTAACAGAGTTTGGTGGCTGTGTTCTCAGCTAGGGGTGTGTGCTTGCATAAGAAGGAGGGAAGCTGCTAATAACACATGAGAACAGATATATGAAGGTAGAAAACAGAGCAAGGTTCACAAGGAAGTGTTTTTTTTAAGCAGTACCCACTGATGTGAAAGAACAGGGAGTTAGAGGGGGAAGGACTCAAAGAAATGGTGTTTTCCTCTGGATGTCAGGAAATATCAGCTCCAAACAATCTTTTATTTCAGACTTCACTGGCTCAGGGTCCACCTGGCTTTGGAGCTTTGTCAGTCATAAAAACAAACTGAGAGTCCCATGAGTGAAATTTCAGGAGCCCTTTTATTTTGTTTAGATCCTTGAACCCTTCTGGTGTCACACAGAGTCATGCTGTGATCAGGCAGACTCTCCTAGCTGTAATTGGGACTCACTTGTCTATCCAGGAAGTCTTTCTCCTGATTTTCTGCTTTTCTGTGTTTTCTTAGGGCCTTGAGGTATCTTTCCTGCCCATTTCAAATGAGATTTGTGCTTTTGTAAAACTGGGGTTGGAACAGACTGAGTACACATTGGAGACAAGACCTTTTTTGACACACAACAAAGTCCAGGATGACTTCTAGTATAGTTGAAGGAACAAGCTACATTCAGAATTAAGCTATCCATGAGCATAGAGAGTTTATACTCCACTAAGCAATCCTTGTTCCTCTAGATTATGCAAGTATTTTGTACTTCTCTTTGCAAGGGGATGTAAGACATGCTGCAATGACAGGCTGTGATCACAGACAGGCAGAAGGCCATGTTTCTAAAAAAGGCAGCTTTCTGCTTCAGATTCCTAAGTGATTGCATTTTTTTTTCCATCACAAGCATTTTTTTATGCAGAGTAAGTTGAATTTTTATTTCTGTTTCCTTTTCTCAGAAGACCTTTGAGTGGTTTTGCTCAGATACAGTATCTTTTGAAGAAATAAAAAATATGGAGTTTTAATGCTTCCTGCTTGGAAGTGAAGCCTGGATAACATAGGCCAGTTAAAGTAGGCATTTACCCTGTTAAATTCAGCTGTATCAGGCAGATTATGTGTGGTGCCTGAGTACTTGGCATCTCCCACAAGTCACCATTTCTGTTTTTGGAGCCTTCTCTCCTGAAAGAGGCATTCTTTGGCTTTTGCTTTTTTTGTTACACTTCTCAAGTAAACCAGGTTAAACCAAAAGGCTTTCCATGTGCTTTCCTCCACGTGGAAGAGACTCCTGAGCTGCACTCCAGGGAGCAGCATCGCAGAGCTCCCTGGGACAGCCAGGCCCAGGCAGGAATAACAGGACAGGACCACAGCAGGGGGGTGAAGAAACAGCCTGTCAGGAGCTGTTGATGCAGGTGCCTGTGTGTGAGTAGCAGGAACACGAGTGCCTGTGCAGGCATTACACCTCTGTTAGAGAACAATTGCTGTAGGTGAGACCAGGATGGCCGGTGTTTAGAGCACAGGGGTGCCACTGACAATCTGCTCCTGCACATCAGCTGTTTAGGCATTTTCATAACAGTTAAAACACAAGAATATTCCTTGGTGACCAGTAAGCATAGGAGGCAGACTTTGTTACAATCTGCAGTCATTTAAAACCCAAATAGTAGTTAAATGTAGAAAGAATGACTTACTCTTTTGAGATCCTGACTTCGGCAGGGAAAATCATCGGCATCAACAAAACGAAATCTCAGTAGCAGCTACAGGGCAGGAAATGTGGCCAACCTGCAATAGGATGAAAAGCATTTTTCAAGTCACCAGTAGTCCGTTTTTTGTGAGATTAGGAAGTATAATGGCATTAAGGGATTGTATCTAGAAACTGTGGTAAAACAAAAGGAAGTCACAGTAGCTACTTTAGCTTTTGTATGTGGTAAAATATTTCTCCTGGTCTCTGACCAGCATGTGCCAGTCTGACTCAGGCTGTGAAAAGGGTAAATTGGAGGTGACATGCTACAGATGTAATACAGCCATGGTTTTGATGAAATAAACGTCCATCAGTGTAGCAAATGCTCTTTCTATAGCTCTACAAAAGATAATTATATCTTTTAGACAGTTCAGCTACCCCCAGCTTAAGAACAGTTCCTGCAAGCCATTTGCATTAGTTCCTAAAAGGTGACCCTGATAATATCTTTATTCCCAGTAACTCAGAGGCAAACACTAGGGAGAAGTTTGGTTGGAGAGGTTTACTTTGTTAGGGAAATGAGGCTTGATCTGGCATCAGCAAGGCTGACACAGCTCCATGTCCCCAGGCTGAGCTCATGTTCCCATCAGGCAAAGGAACACAGAACACACATGTAACACACATGTCCAGGCACATGTGTTCACACAGATCACAGACACTCAGAGCACTCACACGCACAAAAGTGCATCTGTGGCCTCAGCCTGGGCCCCTCTCTGTCTGAGCAGGATGAGATCCACCTGCAGAAATAAATGTGTGTGTACACACATCTCTATCTCCAGCCCTACAGCATGGATCACTCCAGCAGCTGCTCTCAGACACTCAGTCTGCCCAGTACCTGCTCCTAGATCCCAGTCTCCCTAGTTTCTGGCATCTGGACATATGAGTCCCCAGGGCTCCAGTTACTGGTACAAACTGTCATGTTTACACACAGACACACTCAGACCTGGCCAGGACTCTCCTCATCCCTCCAACAGCCAGCTCCTCCCACATTGGTTCCCAGGCCATGTCACCCCTTCACCGTCTGGTCTGTCCTGACCTTCACTGGCAATCACAGACACACAAACCTCCCACCTGAGCTGTGCTCCAGCTGCTGCACTGAGACCCTCAGGTACTCAGGCACACAGAAGAGAGTCCTCACCCAGAAATCTGATGTTAAACATGCCTGACAGGTTCCTAGAAACTCTTCTAAAAACTCTTTGCAGTTACTTAGTATTACACCAAAACTGGGCAGTGGGTATCACACCTTCTGTTGCTCTCTTAAGAAATATCTTTAGGGCAGACTGTACACTTCTTTAAAAAATATAAAATTCCCATTCAGCTTTCAAGTGAGAAGGCTGGATTTAGTCTATCTGAGCTATAAGTGACACAGTAATGGGAGGAAGTGGTGTCAAGGCAAGTCCCTCCTTACACACCCAGACTCACTGACTGGACATGCGAAGCACAAGACACCTGTAAATTGTTCCATCTTCCAGCAGTGGCACAAAACCTGTAGATGTTCCTCCAGTGACCCTCTCAATCCATTTCATATTGGCTTAAATGTAAGCCAAAGCTCAAAAAAAAAACGCTTTCAAATCTGCTTTTGAATGGATGAGATATTTTAGTGAGATTTCCCCTCTCTCCATAGATGGGACCAGTGCTATTCAAACAGACCATTATCACCTGTCAAGAGAGGATTAGGGTAGAGGCAGCTCTTGCACACTCTGCTTTGTGTTTCAGATCACAATTCTGACTAGCCAGTCCAGCAAAGAAATGGTGAAGCAGCTGGAAAAGAAGCTAAAAGATGTGGACCTTGTGAGTCTGCGAAGACTACAAGTCATTGAGGTTTTGAAGAGAGACTTCCTGGAGCCCGAGGGTGAAGAGCAGTGTGTGCCAGCAGAAGAGCCCAGCAGCAGTGGTGAGTGTAAGGCAAACAAGGTGCTCAGGGAAGTTTGGGCAGCAGGACAGCCACTAGTTCTTGCTTTGGTCTGATATCTGTCACTGGCCTTTGTGCCATTTAATGTCACTTAGGTAAGTGAGAACTGCTGGAGGAACAGTGGGAAGTTTGTACCACAGCACTTCTCTGGAGCTTTAGCACATTTGGGCAAAAATTAATGCATTAATTCAGCTCTGAGTATTGCTTAAAATTTACATCATGTGCAATACAGCTGCACTGAGGGATTAGAGAGAAAAATGCCCTGAGTTTATGGGGGTAACACTGACTCACACACACCCCTTCTGCTGCTGAACATCACACTGGGCACTTGACTGCCTGATCAAAAGGTCCTTGGTGCAGGCAGAGGCAACCTGAATCCTTGAAGCAGGTAGTGGGGAAAGGAGAGGCAGGAGAGACAGGCAGGACATTTGCAATTTCAAGGGTCCCCTTTAGTCCTTTCTCCTGGACTACATATTGCACAGTGCTGGGAAGAGTTACTTTCACTGACCAAGTCAGGTGCTCAGCCTCTTGACTAGCTGGTTTTTTGTCACTAATGATGTTCTTGCTTACCTGCTGCTTCTCTTCTCCATGCTTAGGGCAGTTTTTCTTGAGCAATTAAGGCTGTATTTCTTCAGTAACCAGTAGTTGCACACCAGTGAGTTCTCTACAAGCCTCCACCTTCCACAACAGGTCTCCTTTTAAAGGTCTTTCCTGCAGGCACTTAAATTCCTCATGAACAAGACACACCTGGTTCCACACCTGGATCACACAGCAAGTTCTCACAATGAGTTGATAATGAGCTTCAAAAACTGAGTCCAGATGCCTCCCAAAGTTAGTGTAAGACCTGTTCCTAGCAATGTCAGTGTTGCTTTACTGAGTGACAGGCAGCGTTGGATGTTGTTGCCTTACTTGTCTCTAGCTGTTTGTCTTTTCTGGTTACAGCAGCAAATTTCTGGTCAATTGTCATTGTAGGGGCTGGGAATGGTGAGGTGGGTTGCAGGTTCCCTTTTGCCCTGTCCCTCACACCCCTGCCACATGCTTCATTAGTGAAAGAGTGAGCAAGTACACTCCAGACCCTGGGTTTTTCCTGCCCATATCTCTGAAGAACTCCTCCCTTAATTTGACAGTTTTCAGGAGGGGGAATTCAAGCAATGAGAAATTCAGAGACTGAAAGTCCTGCTAGGTCCTGTTTTGACTATTTTTGCTTCAGAGCAAAAGGTGCTGAGCAGTGTCTAAATAAACCAGCGAGATGGTGATCCAAAATCCAGTTCCAGCTCAATACTTTGCAATGTTGCTATAACTGCAGCTTTCATACCTGCATGTTGTTTTTCCTGGCTTGCAGATCTCCTTGGTGATTTCAGCTCTTTCTCAAGGCTGGTAAAACAATGAAATGCTCCATAGCAGGAGTTTAGGCTGGTTTTCCCCATGTGCAGCACAGCACTGACTGGGCTCTCCGTGCTGCCCCTGCATCCCACTGAGCTGCTGGCAGCCCAAACCAAACACTGAGTCCTATAATCCAGCACTTAGAGACACATCAACGCTCTTACTGCCAATTAAAAGCTTCCTTTCCCTCAGCAAGGCATGGCTGGTTATTCCAGACTCTGGGGGAGTCTCTGCAGGTAAAACTGCTTGGCTGGAGAAAAGCAGTGCACTGGTACCACTGAGTGGGAAAAGGGAGTCCTGAGGAGAAGGAATCAAGGTTCTGGCACTCTGACCTCACTTTAGAATTAATTTAATATGCCAAAACCACAGCAAAAAAGGGGATTACAAAAGTGTGGAAGAAACTGCTGCACAGAGTTGTGAGGTTGAGGTATTCTTCAAAAGCACCACTCTTGTCCCTGTGGAGAGAGGGCACCTTTGGGTGGCTGCAAATGCTGACTTCTCTGGTGAGAAGGGTTGTTGTCAGGACTTTGCATCGAGCTGGGGCTGCACAGAACCCTGCAAGGGAAGCCTTGGAAGACTAGAGACCTCAGAGGAGGAGATGCTCTGTGTCTCTCTGTCAGAGGGCTGCTTTAGAGAATGGAAAACCCCAGCGTGTTATTTTTAAAAGTGGAGTTGTACAGCCCTTTCACTCAATAAATGGAATGAAAATATAAATGGGGACACAAAGGCCATTGAAATTTCAGATTATGAAATTCTAATTTTCTGAGTAGAAGACTTGGATGAAGTATTTACTTTTAAGTGAAGCACCAGGGAAGGGATAGTTCAAATAATTTAAAAAAGGAGCCCAGCTGGCTTATGAAAAGGATTTTTTACCTGTTGGAACTCCTTTCCTCTGTTTCTGAAAAAAAATTAAAAATTCATTGTCCTGTAAGAAAAAAATACAGTAAAGAACATTGAAGTTGCAAGATCCAGCATGCAGGAAGTGCAAGATTAGTGCTGTGTTGAACTATGGAATAAACATTGTGATGTAGCACTAATTAAGAGGTTCATCCCACGGAGGGTATTTCTTCCATTAGTTTGTTTCACGGCTGTTTGAACCTGCTTACCTTTTTAATATCCTTTTCATTTCAGTTTAACAAGTCTCTAAATTTTATGGATTCCACTTGTTTGAAATGGGACGTAACGGTGGTGGATAGTTTTGCCTGCTGGTGTATCTGCAAGGATGTTCTACCCTGGGACTGCTGGGTTACCAAGCAGCACTGCTCAGTAACGTGCTGAAACCTGCCCTCTTTGTGGGCCAGGTCTGGGTCAAGTGTTGCTTCTGTTCCCCTCAGGTCTGTGAGCAGCATGTTGAGGATGATCAGCCGTTTGGCCTTCAGGCCATTCTGCAGAGTAAGGTTCACCTTCGGGATGAGGAGCAGGACTCATCAGCACTCCTACCAAATTCCCTAGCTGTGCAGTCTCTCTGATTTCCCACAGCATCACACATCCAGTGCCCCTTGCTAAGGGAGAAGGAGGAAATGCTTTCAAACTGAGGAGTCTCTGAGGCCAGTGGTGCCATGGTTCACATCAGTCACAACTTGTTCTCTGGAGACAGTCCCAGCACCCCAGGGATGGAAAGGGTGGTGGGGTGGCCTGTGGAGCAGGTCAGCTCCCAGCAGTGTCCCTGGAGTCACAGTGCTGTGTTGTGATTTGCATGGTAATGGCTTCTGAAGCGCTTTCTTTGTGACAGCACTCAAGGTACTAAATGCGGTGGAAAATGCAAAAGAATGTTCTTTTCTATGGCTGAAAATATTTGTGCTTTTACACCTTTTTTTCCCAGCAGACATTGGAATCCTGGGAATGGACATTGATGTGCAAACCGTAGAGGACAATGTCATCAGCTTGGAGATGCTGTTTAAAACATGGCTCCAGGACTATGGCACGGAGAGGGAACAGCTCCACCTCCTCCTCCCATCGGGAGGTTTCAGCCACGCTGCTGCACCCAAGAGCACCATAAGTATTTAATTTCCTCTCCCCCTCTGCAGGGAGCTCCTGAATTCCACAGCCTTAAAGGTTATCCAGGCTCGTCCTGTGGGCACATTCCCTCCCATGGGCATGTTCCCTCCCATTTAGAGAGTGAGGTCCCTCCAAGGGAGGTCTCTGGGTGAGTGGGAAAGCTGGGAGTTGTCTCAGGCCGATAGGAGCCTATTGCTCAGAGAGCTGCTTGTTTGCTGCCATGTCCCGTGGCTGCTGAGGCTACAATTCATTTCCATTCTGCAGCAAAATGTGCCTGGAGGAGCATGTGAATTTATAGCCATGTAGTCAAGGGAAAAGGGGCCTTTTACGTCTTGGGAGTTGAATAGCCCTAAAAAATGTGTTCCTTCTGTTCAATACTAAAAGTCTGTGCCAGAGCTGCACTTAAGTAAAGGCTGTCTTACAAAAGGACTTGACTTTGATTTATATCTAGTGATTTAACGCTAGAATAGCTCATGTTCTAGCTGGAGCTGCCAACAGTTATCATAATGTATGGGAAAATTTGTAAGGAATATGCCTTTTTTTCCCTTTATTAGTCTAAATCCAAATCCCTAATCCATCTTTGGGTGAGCACTGGAAACACCAACAGCTCCAGCAGACATAGGTGTGTTCTGTCAGTTGTTGACTGTGCTGTCACTCCTGCAGTGCCATGGGAAGTCCCTGCAATCCCCTTTCCACACCTCTCCAATGTGATGCTCCTGTGCAGCTGCCCATTGCTGCCATAATGGGAGCACACTTGTCTTCTGGTGATCCACAGGCCAGTTCCAGACTGGAACCAAAGCTCACGGAGAGTCACTGATATGCTCCACAGCAAGCAGATAAGAAAGCCTGGTGGGCATTTTTGTGTGTGTAGTAGCTCCATCTCAGCCTCCAGCACAGGCAGTTATGATATTGATTTTCCTTCATCCTAACGTTGGATTTCTTACTTGATGCATTGTCTTATTACAGCTAGCAAGGCAAACCAAGTTACACTGCACTCAGGTTTTTTCCCCTTCCCACACTCCAGGAATCTGTGGAAGGCCAGAGAGATTGTTTGGAGCTCTGTGCCATGTTACACCAGTGTTAACAGTGTTACATCAGTGTCCTGTGTTTCTCCACACACACAGATAGAAAAGCTGTAGGCAACATGTAGCCCCGAACCCAGTGTGGCTCTGGGGAACAAGGTGCTTCTCCCTCTCCAGCTGGCCACTCATTACCCAAACTGGAGCTTGCCTGCCCAGTTACTGACCAACCAGCATTTCATTAACACACCAAGTGTGTGCTGTTTCCCCATGTGTGTAAAACGGGGACAGGTTGCAGCCTCGTGTCAGGTTTTAGTTTTCTTCCCTCAATAGTTGCTAGAAAACATTAACTTTGTAAGTGCTTTGAGCGTGTCATGTGCTAAACACTTCCAGTGACCCAAACCAATCTCCTTCTCCCAGTGTGCCTCAAGTGCGACCTGCAGGAGAGACTGCTGGACCCAGCCCTGCTCTCGGGGCCGGCTGATGGCCCTGGGAGAGCAGCAGACCCCAGTTCTCCCTGGCACGTGGCAGCCTGGCCAGCCACAGGGCTGCACAAACTCCGGGTGGTAAAGTAAGTGTTGCTCTGTGCCTGGGAGGTGGTGGAACAGCAGCTTCACTCCTCCTGTGCAGTGTCAGCCTGGGACCTGGTAACATCATCATAAAGCACTGGGGGACTCAAAGTTCTGGTGAGCAAAACTGTGATGTGAGATAGCCCCGGCCCTGTAACTCCTCCTGCCATGGAACAGCACAGCCCACACATGGACAGGAGCACAGCCCACACACGGACAGGAGCACAGCCCACACACAGACAGGAGCACAGCCACGAGTGGTGGTACCTGGCACTGGCATTGATGGGTGTAACACCACAGGTGTTATTGAACCTTAGGATTAAAGGGTGGGCTCAGTTCAGCGCGTGCTGTGTCTCACCTAAAAAATCCATTGCGCAGGCTGGAAAGGTAAAAGACCTTTCCCAAAAATCTTCGTTCGCGAAGACTGGCCATTAATATTTGTGCAACAGTTGTTTCCCTCCAGTGTAAAGTTCTGTAGATCGCAGGCATTGCAATAATTCTGCTGTTCTCTCACTACCTAATGAGGCCACAGCAACTAATTGGATGTCAGAGCCTGAGCTAATTAGTTGGACTAGTAGTAAAAAAGCAAGGGAAGCCTCATAGTGCTGTGTGACTTCACCTAAGGATGTGCTCGCTTTCCTGTCAGCAGTTCGTGGCTGGTGAGCACAGAGCACAGCACAAGTGATGCTCTCTAGTGTCTTTTCTGAGGTTTATTTATGGGGGGGGAAAAGTCATTTTTGAACTACGCAGTTGCTATTAAAATGATTCTCAGCCTGTCAGTAGCTGAAGAGCACTAACAGGAGCCGTATGCTTGCAGGGCTCTGAAGTCTGAAGGGGTCTGTGAGTCTGTACTGTATGGCCTGCCCTTCATTATCAAGCCCACGAGCTGCTGGCAGCTGGACTGGGATGAACTGGAGACAAACCAGCACAGCTTCCATGCTTTATGTCATAGTCTTCTGGTAAGTGTGTGAAAATTGCAGTGTGATGGGGAGGGATTGCCAGAGAAAGGAACAGTTAGTGCAAACCCCATAAAATCTGTAGCCTGCATCAGAAAACATATTTCAGAAGCTGCAACTCATCTTATGGGCCAGAGCTGAGCTTGTAAATCTTTCCAGCCAAGGCATCCACTGGAAAGATGCCACAGCACATCAAACCTTAGAGAAGACCCTCGAGCCTATCAGAAATCCAGTGTTTGGGGATATGAAGTGCAAATGTCAGAGTTGGAGTTAGATCTGCATCTTTAACTGCGAAAAAAATTAACCAAGGCTTGGACTGTGGAGGACTGTCCATTACTGACAAGTTGTAAAGCAAAATTGGATGTTTTTCTTAAGAATTGACTTGCATTTAATTAAAAAACAAATACCATACTGTCCTCAAGCATATTGCAGAATAGTGTTCTTATTCTGATGTGTGAGTGTGTGGCTGCTCCTGAGCACTACAGCCCACGCTGACAGTGCTGAAGGAAGTGGCTCTTGCCTGCTGTTCACATTGGGTTTGGTTTTTGCCATTTAGCAAAGGAAGTGGATGCTTTTGGCCAGGCACGAACCTCAGAACACTAATCCAAGCTGGAACATTGTGGTGCATTCCTACTACGTCATCGTCCCTTCCGACTCTGCCACTCTACTCCTCAAAGCAGTCGCCATCAGGGAGCTCCTGCTGCCTTCAGCCTTCCCAGCCCTCCTTGCTGAGCACCCTGAGCCAATCCGTGGCCCCATAGAGGTGAGTCAGCACAGCCCTGCTCTGTGCCCGGGTCCCAGGGGAGTCACTGGATTCCTGCTCTAACCCCTGTGCCCAGGTCCTGGGGGAGTCACTGGGGCCCTGCTCTGTGCCCGGGTCCCAGGGGAGTCACTGGAGCCCTGCTCTAACCCCTGTGCCCAGGTCCAGCAGTACAGGCAGAGATCAGAGCAATGATCAGCCCTATGCACAGGCCCTGCAGCTGCTGCTGAAGCTGTGGCCATCTCCCTCATTGCCAGGGAACACAGATCTCCTCACACCTCAGAGAGAGGTGCTTTAGGCAGTAGAGAAATCAATACAGAGTACCTCTGTTTCTTCCAGTAGATTCAGGCTTCTGCATTTCCTGTTCTCCCAAGTGGTCTTCCTCTGCTCCAAGTGCTGCCAGGAAAGGCAGAGCTCTCACTATAGCCTTAGCAGATAAATAGAGAAGGAAATGGCTGGGAAAATGTCTAGTGATAGCTGGAATATGATGGAGCACTCCAAAACTTTCCAGCAGAGGACATATCCTACAGCTTTCCTCATGGACAGTTAATGCCTGTCTTTTGGAGCAATGTTGTGTGTCTGTTGCAGAGAGTGGGAAGAAGTGTTATGAGGCAGAGTGGAGGGTGACAGTGCCCAGAAAGGGTGCTCCAGCTTGTTGGCTGATTCTGGGCACGGGAAAGGATAGGACTGCATCTTGCAAGGGAATGCTTAAATCCATTAAGACCTGGTGGCAGATGCCTCGTTCCTACACAGCTAAGAGTGCTCCTGGTGGGTAGCAGCACGGCCAAAGATCCCCTCCCCTATCACTGCAGGGTGGCATGGAGTGTCTGCAACACTCATCCCTGCAAACCACCCCTCCCAGTGCTAAAAACAACAACCCCCCACACACAGACCCCACAGCCTCTACCTGTCACAGCCCACAGCAACTCAGTTCTTTCTCCTGAGCAGAGTGCCCTGAACAGCTTGGAAGTGGAAGTTGCTTATAACCCCTTACACCTAAAAAGCAACCTGTACAAATACCTGAAGAGTTCGTTGTACAAAGCTCCCCATCGGCAGCAGGCCCAGCCCCGGGAGCAGCGCCCAGAGCGGCACCAGCCCAAGCAGGTAAGTGCCTTGCTGGGACCAGCCTGGAGTGTGTGTTCTGCCCATCTGGTCAACTTCTTACAGAAGGGCTGAGGGCAGCTCCCTGGTACCCGGCAGGGATGGGTGCAGGATCAGCTCGTGCAGCTGAGGGACACTGGGCACATTCAGACACAGCCACAGTGGGACAAGCCAGCGCCTCCTTCCACAAGATGCACTTATGTCTTGTCCTGTCTTGCAGCCCCAGAGCAGAGCCAAAGCTGCAGTGGCACCCCTTCTGCTGGCTCCCTCTCCCCTCCAAACATTCAGACCAGCAGCAGCGAGGAGAGACTCCTGTGAGCGCCCTCCCCTCCCCAGGGAGTATGATGAGTTCCTGCAGTGAAGCCCAGGCTCTGCTGGGGCTGCCCATGTGCAGGCACAGCTCAGCTTCTTGCTCAGCTGCACCGGGCCAGAAGCGGTCGGGCAAGACACTGAGCTCAGCCTCGGGCAGACAGGCACTTCCCATCCTTTGTTCCTCCTGGTTGTTTTACAGTTCTGTTCGTCACCGAGTCAGTCTACAGGAAGTTTCTGCTCTGGGACCCTCTGTCCAGAGATCCAGCTCTCCCCCACACCACCACGTATTTCCTGTTCTTGTCTGCACACATCACAAGCATGCCTCAAATTCTGGTTTCTGAGACTGGGCTAACGCAGGCCACAAACCACAGATTGCTGTCAGCGGGTGCAGAGGAGCTGCAAGCAGGGTGGTGAGGAAATCAGACAGACAAGGCAGGCAGGGACACCGAGCTCCCCTCATCCTGCAGCAGCAGGTTCAGTGGGGTGTTTGAATAGGCCTAAAACGGGGCTCGAGTTTGATCTTAAAGCCTGGAATTCCGCCCTCCCGGGCACAGCACTACCCATGATGATGATGATGATTTGCTTGCTTCCGAGGTTGGCCTCGCTGTCCAACACCCCAGCCAATGAAGGGGTCTGTAGCAAGTGCCAAGGCAGGGCTGCTCCTGCACAGTGACATCTCACACAGCTGGAACTGCAGCACAGCCCCAGCCCCATCTCCTCCTCCTGGACCACCTGTGCCTATGGGGCTGGTCCACGAGCCAACACAGCAATACTTTTTGGCAGGGTTCTGAAGATTCTCAGATCACAGTATGACGTGGCAGGGGAAGAATGCAGCACCACACTGGCCTAGAGCTTTTCAGAGAGTTTCTGCCCAGTGCTGGCACACGTCAGCCTGGTTTTCAGTGCAGGTGTAGGGCAGCTGCCTCTGGCAGGGCAGAAGCTGAGGGCAGCTCAACCAAGCCAAGGTGGGGTGGTCTCTACCAGCCCCCTAATGCCAAGCACCAGCACAGTTTGTGCTCTACTTACTTCGTTCTGACAAGCTGTTTCAAAATAAAGTTATCCACCATAATGTTCACTTTCTGCCTATGGTTTATAATGTGTAGAGCATTGCTATCCCAGCACTGACCTGTGCTTCCTGAGAAACAGCTGCAGTTGAGCAAGGGCACAACACAGGCACAATCCTGCCCGGGGGCTGTTCAGCAGGAGTGCAGAGCTGTCAGAGCCCTCTCTTCTCCCTGGGCTCTCAGCTCATTGACAGGCCCTGAGACCCATCCAAGGGCACGGGCCTGCTCTTCCCATGCCCTGGCATCTCAGGCAGCTGCTTGCAGCAAGATATCAAGGGCAGGTACTCTGGAAAACAAGGCAGACACCCCTGCAGGCACAGGGATATGGACTCATGGGGTGCAGGCTGGTGGCCAGCTCTGCCTGTCTCGAACACTGCTGGGGAAGGGACAGGAGCAAAGGGCAGTGATACACATACAAATGGCCCAGCCTGGGGTGTGCAAACCAGGCAACAACACGAGAATGACAGAACCAGGTGGGGGAGGGAGGGCGGCAGATAGGAGATGGAAAGTCTTTGGAAGTCCTGAGTTGCCTGTTAGGAGAGAAGATGCTATTGCTGCAGCAAGAAAAATAAATATGCTTTCCTTGCAGCCAAGAGGAGAGCAGGCCTGTGCAGGGACCACTGGGCTAGTACAGATGCTGGAGCATCTTCCTTCCTCACTGTCGCCTTTTAGGTGCCAGTTGGGTCAGCCCAGCACGCTCAGCTCCACGGGAAGGCACGGACACAGCACACGGAGGTGCCCACAGGGATGGACATGAACAAACACCCAGAGGGAGGCTGCTCTTCATTGTTTAAGTTGTGGAGCCTCTCACTGGAGTCATGAGGAAGGATTATGGGCAGGTGGCCTGGGCTACCTAAGCAATGCCCAGAGCTCATCTCTGGAGCAGGTGGGCAGAACTGCTCTTGGGATATGGACATGGAACCACCATGGACAGGAACACAAGCAAGGGACCACCCAGCAGCTAACACCCTCTTCTCCTGCCCCTCCTCCCAGCAGGAACTGCCTCAGCCTCCCTCAGATTCTCAAAACCCCTTAGGCTTCTTTCCCTTCTCATGCAGCAAAACCCCAGTGGAGAAGACAAGCCAGCCCAGAACAGCCACAAATTGGTCCTGGCTACAGCTGAGCTGTATTGTGACAGGGCTGAGGGTTCCCCCTGCAACTTGGGCAGTAGACAAATGGCCAGTCAGAACCCACCACCTTGTCACCATCTCACCAGCCTGAGGACCTGAACCTGATCCTCCAGACTTCCCCAGCAGTTTTTGGCTCCCTGGGTCTGAGGTAGGGCTGCAGAAGTCATGCTTAGCCCTCTGCACAGGTACAGCCCAGTGCTGTCACCTGCCTGCCACGCTGCCATCGCTATCGACAGGCTGCTAAACCTGCAGAAGTCACCAGCAGCCCCATCCAGACATGGGTGCAGCCAGTACCAGGGTGCCTCATCTGACCCTACACAGAAGGACATGAAATCTCTCAAAACCAGTACCAAAAGGACAACGTGTTTTTCCCCTGCATAGGTTCCTGCCCAAGGCTGGCCACACTGCAATCAGCCTCAGACCACGCAGATCACAGATTTTGCCACTGAAGTCAATGGGATCCAGACTGGGCTATCCCAGGCCTTTCAAGAGCAGCAGGAGATCAGCAGTGGGATCAAGCTGGGGAACAAGAGATCCTGTGACTAATCAACAGCCACTGAGCTGCAGCAGAGCTGGAGCCTGTCCCTGCCCAGCCTTATGCATGGAGGCCATCACATCCATGCCCTGATCAGCACATAAAGATATCTGTGAGCCCGACTCTCACATCCCTTAATCCCCTGGCATCAGGGCATCCCAGCCACAGCTGAATCTGGAATGCACTTTTCATTGTTGTTTCCCCTTAGCTCAGTACCTCTGGCACAGACACCAATGTGTCCATATGAACAGTGCTCAGCTGCTCCACAGCAGGACCAGCATCTCCCCATCCATCCTGACAGCTCAGACAGGCAAACGTGTCATTCTGAGACATACAGACTTTAATATTAAAATAATTTTGTATAAAAATACTTTTGAAGACTGATGGCAAGCAGTCTTCCACGCACCACAATGGGCATCCGAGCCCTGCAGCCTGGTCAGAGGGGAAGCCAGAGCAGAGCCAGAGCAACAGCTACAGGACAACACAGCCAGGCTTCCTGCAATCAGGAGGCAGCAGCAGAGCCAGCTCCAGAGCAGGAGAAGCACCCTGGCACCTGTGCCAGCCACGGCTCTCTTGCTGTTGCTGTTTCACTCCAGGGAAAGGCAGCCTCAGCACTGGTGAGCAAGAGGGGCTCTGCCTGAGCCCAAACAATCCCCACCCCTAAGCCCCACCCCAGACCCATGGAGGAGCACAGCTGGCACTGGGACACCAAGTCCCATCCAGGCAGATACAGAGCAGCAGCACCCTATATCTCTCCTAAGTCCTCATAGACAGGCGACAAGCTGCACTCATCCACAGACTGCTCCTTCTTCTGCAGGTGCTGGGGCTTCACCACCTGGCTGTACAGCACCTCCACATTGTTGTTGTTGCTGCTGTTGAGGCCAGGTTTGGTGACCTCCTTCTCAGGAGCAGCGCTTCCCCACCACCTCCCGGGGTCCTCGATCCTCTCCACACCTTTGGAGATAAAGGGTGCCTGGGGCTTGGGGGCAGGGACTGGCCTGGGGCCCTTGGCCTTGGCCTGGAAGGCGGGTACCGAGTAGTCATCAGTGCTGGGGTTGTAGGGGTACTCGTAGCCGCCTTTGCCGTCGTGGCCCTGGGTGCGCCAGGCCTCGCCCGGGGGCCGCGCCTCGTCGTAGATGCAGGGTGGGGGCAGCGAGCGGGGAGCACGGCCCTCGGGCTCGTCGTAGATGTGCTCCTTCTGCCCGGGCGCTGGCGGTGCCTGGCTGCGACCCTCAGCACGGCCCTGCTTGTAGGTGCCCGAGTACGGCGGCACCAGCAGCCGAAGCTTCGTCTCCTCCGAGGCCCCGCCGGGTGCCTTGGCCCCGCTCGTGGCCTTGCTGTCCACAGGGTCCGAGTACAGCGGGTCCGGCCAGGGCCGGAGGCCCTTCACTGAGTCCAGGGGCTCCGAGTACACGCTGGACGGGTCCTCAGCCGGCACCACGGCCCGGAGCACCTTGGGCAGAGGGGAGCGCGGGGGCGTGCTGGGGGCTGGGGGTTTGCTCTGTGGCACGGGCAGCTCTGGCAGAATTCGGGTCTTCAGCAGAGACGTGGCGTCTCTCTCCTCTGCCGCTGCACTGGCCTTGGGCACCAGCCCCACTTTGGGTGCCGGGGTATCGCTCCCCTCGGTGGGCAGCTCCAGGCTCAGGGAATCAGCCAGGGCCTGGCGGATCTGTGCCACGCTGGGGCTGTCTGCATCCAGCGAGTCGCAGCTTTGCCGGTTCTCCTCCACTTGTGCTTTCTGCTCCTGGATGGAGGCTTCCACAAGGCGGAAGATCTCGTTGCCCTGCGTGGTCTCAAAGGTGAAATTCCCAGGTCCCGAGTCACAGCGCCTGCCAGCTTCGAAGGAGAACATCACCTGGGGGGGAAGCGGAAGGGTCACATCCTGATCAGCACCTGCCAACCCAGTGCATCGTGCAGGCTGCGCTTCCTGCTGAAGAGCGTGTGGCTGTGGCACTGATCCTGCACATCCTGCTAGAGAATGCAGTGAACATCCTGTTCCTTCCAGTCCCGCAGCAAGGGCCACCCTGGGGGCCCGCTGTGACCAGCGGCTGGGCAGGGATGCACACCTCAGGGGACATCACTGCAAGTGCCCCAGAGGCAAAGCTGCAGGTCCTGCTGGAGACCTGCTGCCTTACCTGAGCAATGCCAGCAGCATCAACCACTGACACCAGATAGTCTAGGAAATAATACTGAGAAGGGACTAGGGAGAGCAGATGAGTGACAGTTCAGCAGGGGAAAACTACTATGGGCACCTTGGGTAAGTCAGCATCAGACAGAAGGGAGTGATCTGGAAGTAAGAGATACAAGAGGAAAAACAGGGCTTTCCACAGGAGAAAGCCCAGAAGCAACAGCTCGACCACCAAGAGTAAGCAAAGCATTTACCTACCAGCATTACTCTGTTAATGGTATAAGGTACTTTAAAGAGAAGTCTTGCTCAGGCCTGAACACACTCTGGTACACAGGTTCCCAGCAGCAGGTGCCCATACCCTCCCTGAGCCTCAGTCCCTGAACCAGGGGAGATTTTCTGCCTCCCTGGTGCTCTCGCAGGCAGCAGCAGTCCCTGGGGTTGCTACAGAAGTCTCTGGGGCCAGACTTCCTTTTGTGGGTCAGTGCTGCCAAACACAAGCACAGTCAGCCCCTGCCTGCTCAGGGACCTGTGGGTGCAGCTGCCTGCTCCCCACACCCTGCAACTCTCCTCCTGCCCCGGCACAGACCCTGCGGATGAGCCAGGTGGCTCCCCAGGGGCAGCTCGGTTTCC